GCTGTAGCTTAAGGGTTGAAGCATGTTTGTGCACACTGGTTGAGACTGACTACAATCATTCTCATTTCTCGCTCACTCCAATGACGTAAATAGACATGCAACTCTGTCCAAAGACATACTCACGCACACAGGACAGAAGATCAACCAAGCCCTACAAGTCTCCACGGACAACTACGGAACACATGTAGCAGCTACGCTGCAGAGAAGACCCGTCCCACATTCGGAACTTCATCCAGGAACTCTCAAATGTTGTCCTCAAACGATAAGTCACTTTTTGGCTTATTCTGTTCTTGCATTGTATTTATTTTTATCAAGTGCACATAACTTTTGTAATCGTCATCATTCTGGTAAAAAGGACATTTCTATAGAGGAGAATGTCGGTACCTCAGGTAGCGTAGATGGTCGTTGGCTTGTTCGCTGAGCTGGGCAACTGGTTGCAACCAAATTGCCCAGCTCAGCGAACAAGCCAGCGACCAAAAAGGACATTTGTTAGTGATTGTCACCTCCTGACAATCAACCTAATTACGTTACAAGTAAATCACTAAAACTCCTTTCTTAGCGAACACTATAAAACAAGTTATGAAATGATGTTTAGGGAGAAAACCTGGCACCTAAAATAGCAGTCTAAGGATTTGAGGAAGATTTTGTAGATATCCTCGCGCCATGTCAACTCTTACTTGAGGTAGTCAACAGTCTCTGATGGTGCGTTAACTAACATCAAGCTAGTTACCCTGCGTGGTTGCAAAAAATCCCCCCCCCCATAAACCAAGCCAGCGACCAAAAAGGACATTTGTTAGTGATTGTCACCTCCTGACAATCAACCTAATTACGTTACAAGTAAATCACTAAAACTCCTTTCTTAGCGAACACTATAAAACAAGTTATGAAATGATGTTTAGGGAGAAAACCTGGCACCTAAAATAGCAGTCTAAGGATTTGAGGAAGATTTTGTAGATATCCTCGCGCCATGTCAACTCTTACTTGAGGTAGTCAACAGTCTCTGATGGTGCGTTAACTAACATCAAGCTAGTTACCCTGCCTCAATATGAGTACAATCTAAACGCATTAAGATTACTTTAACTACAATGTACCGTCGCGTCTCTAGTTATGAGGCTTTTGTGTTGTGTATAGATAAACTACCGCCCGCTAGTGTTAGCTCTTTCCTGACGATGCTTTTGTTCACAAATTTTATTGACATGGACTGTCCGTTAAATATCGACGAGTTTGTGAAGAAGGCGAATAGAAACTGAGAAATCGGCTTCCTGAGGCACCCCACACTCGCTGGAAATTTTGCATAACTTTCTACCAGCACTGCTTTTTGTCGGTAAATAAGTTGCATTAGATGGATAGAAAGCATCATTTTGTTTCGCCGCTTAGAGCTCTATGTACCAGAATTAGCTGTTTAAGTTTGTGAATCAGACCCAGAAACGCTCAGTCTTGCTCAAAGTTTTCATGACCGTATACTAGGAAAAGGCTCCAGTAGCGGTAGTGTACCTTCGTGCTTTGCATGCGAATTGGTTTTCATATTTAACTGCACTTTCATAAATACCGGTATACATTAGATGGGTGGACTTTGGTTAGGAGTTATCCAGATGATTTCCCATCCGTCAACCATATTTGGCACTTCTAAGACGAGATGAGACAAGTGTCACAGAGGATTCGTTTTCTTAGGGTGCACTGATTCTGTCCAAATAGTTTGGCTCTGTGGAGGCGTGTTTCAATCCTAACGAGTTTTAGGAAATTCTCGCGTTTTCGAAGTATTCAAGATTTGTGGCTGTCTTTTTCTGACCTGGAAGAATTTAATCGCTACCAATAGAAATTAAGGCATTCAGCCTGGATATCGAGGTATGGATGGTGCATCTTAGTGCACCTCTTCGTAATTGTAGGCTATAATTGAGGGTTTTTTCTGCGCCCTGTTCAGGTTGCTTAAAAGAAGTTGAGGCAAGAGTCTGGACATGTACCAAGTTTTCTACAGACAGCATAAGTTCAAGCGGAGATTAGGGCAACAGAACTAGGTATAGAAATGTATCCTTAGGAATACAGTGAATTTCGTGATCTGAAACACATGCCATAGTTAGTCGGCCTACTGAGTTGTCAGAATAGCTTTCTGACCTCGACATCTCTAAGTAAAGAAGATTGGCTGGCCAAACGCAGGCGACAGGGACTGGACGTAAGTGAGGGTAAGCCGCGCCTGCGGACTTAAAATCAGTTACGCTGGGAGAAACGTAGTCTAAACTAACTTGACTCTTGATTTGAAAGTCCCCCCACGTTTGTTATCCCAAGCACTCTTAAAACATACATGAAAGTGGTTCAGGTCACCGCAAAACAAGTCTCGATTTTAGGGTCAAATTCAGAGAACTATTCAGGAAACTTTATCCGCTGTTCGAGGAAACAGTGAATTTGACGCAGACATCTGCTAGGTAGACACTCATATAATAGCCAGATAGCCCATACCTGAGTAGCCGAAAGTGAAGTTATACTTCTACCCTGTATGGTAGTGGCGATTTCATTTTTTCAGAACGCTGCAAGGAGTTTCCTGGACGGTTACATTCCACTCTACTCAGGCCACTGGGTGGTCAAACAGTTAACCAGAATTATTGAAATATTTTCAGATAAACGTTTCTGCGCGACAACTTGTACGCAGATCGCATAGATTGTCAACTTGGACAAATGCACTCATTCGCTAATCGATGTGGTTTTCGTGGGGGCTCAACGGAATCTCTCGTTTATGATATTCGTCAACTGAATGTACTGCTCAAAGGTCGCCTGATGTTTCGGTTAGTACGATATTCGAAATATCGCAGTACGTTTTGCGCATCAATTCAGTTGAAGAATACCATAAACGAGAGATTAAGTCCAGTCTTTCGTGAAAACCAAATTGATTTGCGAATGAGTGTATTTGTCGAAAATAATCCAATTTGGGTTCAAGTAGAACATGAATTTGACGGAAACTCGAGGACTGAGCCTAAATGATCAGCCCCAAAAAAGGCGAAACCGATCGTGGGCTGTCGAAGAGTTCTCAGCAACCTTATGAGTGGTTTCCTTCACGAAGATTATCTGCTTGTTTTGGAAACGGTATGATGCATAAAAAGTGTTTTCTGACGCATAGGTGGAGCGCGAATTGCAGTCCAGAGCAGATTTTACACCTTTTAGCACGCATTTCGAAATTTTACAGAAACCCTCTTCCATGTAACCATACTCCAATTGACCAGGATTTCGCACTCCGCAAACCGGACATCAAATCCTGCACTTTTGTTGACTTGTTCCACAAAATCATATGTCTAATCAAACAACCTTTGGCTTAAAAATTAAACGAGAGGAAGAAGGCCCTAGGAGTCGAGTTGACCAATAAGAAAATTGACTCATAAATTCGAGAGAAAATGGGAACACTTGAAAGGTGTTCTAAAAGGAGCGAACTTCTACTTTGGGACACGCACCATCTCCATGAAGTAGAGGGCTTTCTAGTTGGATATAATTAGTCTAGCGCACACTCTGCACCCACACAAGTTTCCAGGACAGTACAGTATCATCCAGCTGAATCAAGTCAACGTAGTCTCAAGTCTAAAATGTGTATGAGAGTCCAACAGGGACTCAGATATGCTGCTGCTCAACACCTTGCAGCGGACTGTGAACCACTAGTCTAGGTACCTTAACAGCTGGTCGTGCAGACGGTGGTTTGATCGTTTCCATTTGTTTTTGCTAGAGCTCCGTCCCAACGTATTTATATCCCAGTTGAAAAATTGCAGAAAACGCTAGTAATGTGAAAACGGATAGTTGAGAGCAGCATTTCTCAATCAGCAGTAAACAATTCCAGGCAGATCTGCACTCCTGACCGGCGGTGTCCGGTTCGATCTCGGCAGGCTTGCTCCAAGCAAAGCGTGATAGAAAGAGGAGCTGCGCAGCAGGTAAGAGCTTAAGAAAGCATATATTCAGTTCCTTTGTCAAATGTAGCCCACTGTGTTTGGTAATACAACAGAAAATCACCGGTGAAGTATCCAACAGTCAATACTGCTGGGAGCCACAACCACCTGTCGGAAGTTTGCTTCCTCTATGTTTATGTGCTCGGAAGGACCAGTCTGATTTTAGGGGTGGGATGACTGAAAAACAACGTCCCCAAAAAACAATGTCCCCATGAAGGTAAAATCGTGTATTTGAAAATTAGTTTGTAAATCACTTCTGCAATTATGATGGAGTAGATCTTTCCCACTTTAAAACCCTCCTGTTTTGTACAACCTGTATTTACAAACGGCGTATCAGGCGTCCGATGAACCAATTGAGTTTGATATATGGTATCACTGTGTCATGAGGGGGGATTCAGACGGAACTCTGACCGCCACACCGTCCTCTTAACGCACCGCGCGAGATCAAATATAGGTTTTCCCCATGTGAAAATATTTATCGGTCTTACGGTGCCCGATCTTTTACAAATTTAATCGAACGTTCTTAATGCGGAGAATATCATAAACGAGGGATTCAACTGGGATTCAGATGAGCCTTCCGTGAAAACCAAACTGATGTGCTAATGAATGCATCAGTCGGGTTATAATGCAACCTTCCTGCAATAGAATAACAGATGTCTGCGAAAAACATGGAAGATTATTCATACCTTAGGTCACGTTGTTTTGATCTGTCTGCGAAAACTATTCCCGAGATACACTCAGTGTCCGAGCGAAATAACGGTCGCATTGCGGGGGGTGATAATAGCGAACCAGGCTTTTGTTTCCAGTTCATCAATTCCAGGTTTTTCGGCACTAGGGCGACAGTTTCCACATCACTAGAACTCTTACAAACATTTGCGGATGAGTGTCGTAACACCACCGACCCCGTTTTATGACCACAGAAACTGACTGTTTGCTCCAGCTTACTGCCAATAATGCCAAAGTCCACTGAGCTCGTTTGTATGGGTGGATAATCATTAGCGTACGGCTGAGGGGACGTTGCGTCGGAAGGTTGCTTGTGATCATTCTTGTTGCCTAGGCCGTTTTTTGCAGTTCGCTAACCCGCTGACGAACCAGTCGGAACGCGACACTTGTTACTCTATGAAGAAAAAATCAAAAATGTGATCCAGACATTAGTGAAGAAGATACTGAATGAGAGACGATTATGATGGTAATTATATAGCTTACGTATGCATACATATATATCTAGTGCCTCGTCCCTGGTGCTACCAACCCTGGCAAACACGGAACTCCATGGAAGAGTTCATTACTCCCACGCATACCTTAACTGTCTACGAATATCTCGAAAAAAGCTAGCCAATAGCTTTATCTTTGAAGGTTTTTTATTGGCCCTTGTTTTTCTACTGCAGCCTTGAGGAGCATGTCACCGAATCGTACCGGATTTTAGTAACATTTGATCGCTTCGCGAAAGCCCCAGTTCAAAGTTGGTCGCAGATTAGATTGCGAAAATATGGTTTCCTTCGTCGCTTCACAGCAGTCTTGTCTTATTTTTAATTGTCGATGCCTGTGGGGTTGAAGTGCTCCGTGGGCGTCAGCTCACAGATACTGAGTACGCAGACAGTACTTATTCTTGAATTTGATGCCATTTTAACGCAGACTGTATTACATAATCTAAATAATTCTTCCACACGGTGGAAAAGTGCAAAGTGATAGTGTAAAACTGGGTGGACTCGAACCTCAACCTCGTGCTTGCGGATGAGCCGACTGGGATAGTAGACAAGTTTATCTACCTGGGCAGCTGCATCAGTCCCGGTGGTCTTGCAAAAGATGATATTTCTATCCGGATTGGGATCTGCGTCACATGTGGTGTAGGCGTGACATCAGCTTATCCGTCAAGGATCGAGCTTACAATACTGCGGTGCGATCCACATTATGTGTCAGAAATCTGGCCGCTGCGCGCCGAGGAAGTCAAAAGGCTGATTGTTTAACCATCGATATCTTCGGAGTACTGCCCGAGTCTGATGGGAACATCGGATCAGCAATGCTGAAATACGTCGAACGGTATTCGAAAGTAATAACTCGCCCACGATAGATAAACTGATCACACTGCATCGGTTGAGCTGGCTTGGTCAGTCGACCAGCTTCCTCGAGGGGTTCTTTTTTTCAGAACCACGCGAAGGGTGGAAACGGGCCAGGGGAAATCAAACATTAACTTGGCAGCGAAGTATGAAAGCCAGTACTAGCAAACTCAGCTGCGCTGGTCATTGCTGTCTCCCTGGATGGGGATCCGGAGTCTGGACACATAAGTAGTTGGAGACACTGTTAGAAATGGCCCAGTTGCGCCTTGAATGGCGCTCGTGCATCAAAGATATTTCCTTCCCACTTAAAAAGTCACAGATGACCCCGTATTTACGCATCACTCATGTCAGATCCCGTCTCCAATGTACTATATACCCTAATCCTCCCTCAATCACCGGTCAAAGAATCTGTGGCAGTTATAACCACTACGACTGGTGCGCCACTCCTACAACTGATAGTGCTAGTGATGATGATGACGATGATGACGATGATGATGACGATGATGGTGATGATGATGATTATGATGATGATGATGATGATGATGATGATGATGATGATGATGATGAACTGGTGCACGCTTGACGAGCTTGAATTAACGCCCCTGAGCAGATGAACGTGTCCACGTCGGAACGGCGTAATTAGTTGTCCCAGTGTCTTGAACACTGGTTGTACCGACCGAGTGGCCCGTCTTTCAGGACCTCCTAGTCAGGAGACTTGAAACTTAACGGACACTTTTGCAGTGTGAATGAACTATGGATTCCACAACCACCCACATCTGTGAAAAAGACCACCTGCTAGGGTCAGATTACAAACCTTACAGGTGGTTATTAAAAATGTCAAAATACCTGTAGGTTAGCAGCCTTACGTAAAACGTTCTGACGATTAAACAACGAAGACCATGAAATCCAATGAAGACCATCATAAACGCGGGATTCGGCTGCGTCTCTTGTCAAAACTAAATTCATGTGCAAAACGAGTGTTTGTCGAGTCCAGCTAACCTCGTTCATAAAATTTACCCACTTTATTGTAAATGCTTACATCTACCAAGCGCTAGTTTTTGTTACCATCTTTAATCTCGATCAAACTCTTCAAAAATAAATACTGCGGTGAAGCATGCTTGTGCGAAATTTCGTTCATTTGGCACAGGTACGTTTGTTGCGTCATCGGGCAGGTAAATTTACAAGCTGCCATTGTCCTAAAGAGAAAATTTACCCTTTATATGGGGCCACAAAGTGGTAAACAGAGCGGAAACTGCTGGTTACGATCTATCCTTATTGATACGAATGGTCGTGATGAAGCACTGCACATGACTCGTGTTAACGAAATGTGAGAACCTGGCTGTGAGAAATGTCCAAAGAAATGGGAAAATGGACAGTCGGACTTCGGGATTAATGAAGGAGTGCGGCATTTCGGTGGAAAGCTATCTGCAGTATTTCCTGGGACCTAGGAAGTATAAATTGATTTGAATGTGTTGGTCAAACATTGATGACGATTTCGCTAACAAACTGAGGGGATAAAAATTCGCAACGGTCACATGAACTTCAATAGAGTTAGACTGACTCATTAAAGACTTATCTGAAGAACGCTGGGAAAATACCAGGCAACAGAATATCTAAGGTGAGAACAGTGCTATAAAAGCTCTCAACACCACCGGCCAATGGCAATACTTATGTGAGAAATCGACTTTCATTCGAATGATGGAGAACACTCTCATTGGACTTTGATTATCCAGCTGGCTAAGCTTAGCTGTTTTAGTCAATAGTGGAGTTTGCAAAAGTCGGTGACTTCGCACAAAGATCGACCGATTCTAGGTACCACTCAGACAATCAGACAGTAGGCCATTCATGAGCGAGCATATATGAATATTCAATGGGGCATACACTAAGCAATGAATTACCATTCGTTAACAAAATAAATCTTTCCCAGAGTTAAGCAAGTCCTTTCGGACGATTTCTTGGAACTTAGCAGGTGTCAGAGGGATAGAAACCTGCAGTCCTGTTCAAGCCGAGTCCGCCTAGCGTCTTCACAATGGTGTCACCTGCGTCGCACAGTAGATCAAGTCAGCGGAAGCAAGCTGGGGATTGGGGGCTATGGAGACACAACTCTTAGGATTTTTTTAATCTGGTCAGCTTTCGCTTGGAAACGAAAGAAAGACAGGTGGCGTGGTCTGACATGCAACTGGTGAACTTGTCCGTCTCACCCCCAGTTCGCTGAATTTTCGGCCGGAGGAAGATCCCCAAGGCCCACCGCTAGTGCTTGCTATCTTCAAACTCTTGTCTGGAACAAGCAAACGATAAATGTGAAAGGTTGTTGTTTTATACATAACCGTTTGTTTTGAGTCCATCCACAATACATGTCTGCTTTGCAAACATTAGAGAAATCGTGCAATTTTCGCAGCCTCTGTACAGCAGTTTTATTCGAGACTGAAATGTACGATGATATCACGAATTTTATGGTGAGGTGTCGACAGATGAACGTCACCCAGTGCACCGAAATCTTTCGCAGTGAAACATCTGCAGAGTACCGCATGCAGTATGTAACAGCAGCAGGGGATACATTTAAGTGCTGTGGTGCGAACAACTCAAAGCGGCTACAAATTCTGCAAAATAAAACATATGCTCCCCCCATAAAAAATGCTCAGCATGAAGGAAGTGTACAAGAAGTGGCAGAAAATGAACCATTTTGCAAGTCACCGTCGTTCAGATCCTGATATATTTTTCACGGACCGATAATGGCCAGTGAGCACTCGTCGGTATTCGCGATCATCTTAATAGGAGGACCTTGGAGTACATTGGAACTTCCATATCGATTCCGCAGCTACTATAAACATCAAGTAGGACATTAGGTTGACAGAACCTCGCGGACTGAGCCTACCTGCTAAGCTCCAAGAAGGACTGTCGAAAAGTTTTCAACGTCCTTATTATTGGTGTTCCTCCAGGAAATCAGTCCAAAGAAGTGATGTCGGGGATAGATCTGGCGAACGTTTGACAAACATGTGGATGACGGATAGAGAGAAACCACGCTGAAGGGCAAACTACACCTAGCTGTGTCGTGTCCGCTTGACTTCTCTGTAGTTGAAGCAGGTTAAATTCTAATCCTCGGGCTCATACTCTTCCGGAAGCTGAACTTCATTAACCTTGATCACGCGAAATCTGCAAGTCAGTTGTCATGCGAGTTCTATTCAATTGTCTGACTCACCCACTGTTTCTGAAAGTGCCGCTTCGATTCAGAACTAGGATGCTTTCATGGGGAGTTGGTTATTCGTCACCTTCAGTAAGACAAGCACCCGTAGTTAAAAAAAATAAGAGAGCATATGGGCAGGCAGACTGGATCACTTAATCCATGATGATTTTGAAACAGTCAGCTGCAGTCTAATTATACACCGGCCCTAATGCTTTAAAAGTTGCGTTACGAAAAGAAAGATACTGCGTTTCTAAGCTATGTGCCTAACTCAAGTGGAGCAGGTTATCTATGAAAGTTAATTTGCCAACGGAATTTCGGCTGCTTAGGTTGAGCACAAGATCTAGCTGCTCAACAACAGTTGGCACCTAGTTTGGTCCGTCTCGATGGCTTCGCATACCAGTGAGATTCAGAACTTTGCAAGACTTTCAGGAACAATATGCATGCCCACTGGCGTTCTCATCCACGGTCGGACAACCGAAGAGCATGATCAGAACAGGATATACGTCTAACACGTGAGGAAGTTGACCACCGAGTTAACTCTCAAATTTTGTAAACATGTGCCCACTGTAGACGGTTTTAAAAGGGATTCAGAGAAAATCGGGGCTGTCTTATTTACGCTGATCCTTAATGACCCAAAATCAGTAGCAGTATGAACGGAACGGAGAATCAGTTTAGTCTATTTCGGTCTCGTTCTACCGACCCAGGGGAACCGCTTGTAAAATTAACACATAACATGCAGTGGTTTCGGGTTGGACAACGAAACTTGCAATTTTTAAGAGGTTAAGAAAGCAGTGACCGAGGCACTAGTGCTGACGTAGTAAGATCCATGACTACCAATTATTGTGCAGCGTGATTGCAGCCAGCTAAGCATGGGCACAAAACATTTGAGCAAAGACATCCATCAAGCTATAGAATCCGAAGTCTGATACATGCAGAACTTACCCAAACTCAGAGTATACACTCACGCATATATTCGCTTAAAGGTCAAACCACGAGTTCGAGGTCGTTTGCATGACTGATTGTCATTCTATATCCGATGGCAAGAACAGAAAAGACCAAACGAGATTCTCTTGGGAAGGAACTTATACAAATGATTGCGTCAAGCTGGCCCACTGACAGACAATAATCGCTCCGATACCTGCGAATCTTGTTCAAGGTTCACAACCAAATAGCTAATATCTACTCTTCTTAACTGATTACCAAACTTTTCTAGCTTTAACTTGCTGTCGACAACGCAGATGTATGAGGATCAGGACGTTAGAAGCCCAGAAGTTGTTTTACATAATACACATTCCCACAGCTCCGGCAAGATTTCAGTTGACTGGCTTGTCGGTCTCGTTACTCCGGTTCGGACGTCAGAGTCAGATGTCCTTAAAAATGAGTTTACCATTCAAAAAAACCGCCCGATGTAGTGGATGCGGGTGGGGAGGGAACTTGACGTGAGCTCTGCCGAACGGTGAAAAGCTGACGAAAGTACTAATTGCAGGAGGGGGTGGGTGGGATGGTAAATAGGCTAAGACGAACATCTTGAAGTACTGGTGGACCAACGGGGCAGATAACACGAGATGACTCGTGCAGATGGGAAACAGGCCGCATCATTTGAAATTTAGTTGACTGATTTGACTTGTGTATCCCTTCCATGCAGGCGGAGCGTGAGTTCTCGTCACGTAGGATGATGGGTGGTGATAAGTCCGTCCTAAGTTTTCGTGCTCGACCAACCGATTCAGTCAAAGCGGATACCATATTCTCAGGCCCGGGTGACCGAAAATTGCGCGTTACATTCAGGTTTGTCATATGCAGGGGCGGGATGGTTCAGTGGTTAGAACGCGAATTTACTGGCCGGAAGCCTGTGGTTCGAACCCGACCTCTGCCTCTCGACTTCCCCTGTCTAGGCTTGGGCCACCTGTCAGTATCATAGCCCTCGTGCTTCCTTCTGGTGGGATGGCAGCTAGGCATCGAAAAGGTGTCACAGCTGAACGATTGTCTTATCTTTTGTCATAAGTTGCGTCCAGTGAGTCAGGAAAAATTAGCGACTTGTGGGATCTGCGATACGATTATTTGTATGGATGCTACCGTAATATTACTGCTTACTACTTACTTACTTACTACGTAAGTTCTCAGCCATATGACTGAACTAGTTACCACAAGATGAAAACTAAATTTTGTGCTAGGGAAAGAGGTTGTCAATCTGACACCGACTATGAAAAACAGGTCATCTACAGCATCCAGGCATGGAGAAGAATAAGCACTGCCTAGAATGAGCCTAACGTTTCTCGTAATCACGTCAGGGCAAGAAAAGCAGTGTTCAGATGAGAGTGATGTTAAAATAACTGGCGTAGACGAAATGAAACTTCCTAACGGTCACAGTCACGAAAGTAAATTTGCTATTAAGTGAGATTTACTCCATTCTTCTCAAAGCTCGACTTTTGACCAGGCTTACTAATTGCTTTACCTGTAGAAAAATGGTTTTTATTCCACGTCAGAGTTTTTTTTTAAATGAGTTTTCAGAGTGAACCGGCAGAAAGACACTACTACTGTAATGCGCGACAGATGTCAAACTGCGCTCCACCGTTAATTGCAATCTTTTGTTTACTTTCAGAAGCGGCGGAGGTAACCAGGTTAGAACATGAAGACATTCCTGAATACCATCCAGAGGAGATAGATAGCCCTTCCCAACGACTTTTGTATGTTTATATGTTGGTACCCCCGCATTCTATGGTTGTCACCCATCGACCCCACGTGTTCTGTTGCTCGGAGAATAAAGTGATAAACCTATGTTCTTGCGCTTCTCTGTGGACAGTTGGTGAGAGCTACCCACTTACCTATATATCCAACTAACACATCGCATTCTTCCTTTTTAGCCCCACCTGGCTGCTATCATCAGAACACCCACACAGTGAGTTTAGATAATTTCATACACGCAGATATATTACACCACCCAAAGTAGGCGTCGCCATCGCTTGAATGTGAGTCGTTAATCTACAGTCGCACTTTCAGGAAAGTGTGTAGAGGAATAGATTCATCTATTTGGCCTATCGTTCCAAGCACGCTTCACCTAAGCTACAAAGGGGAGCGCCGCTTATTAAATTATCAGCAATGGATCGAGTGCAGAGTCTTCTGTTTTCTTCGTAGAGCGAAAAATGTGCTAAAGACGAACACTTGTGCATAAACGTTTGCGGATGTGCACTTTTGACATAAATATACGTGCATTCCCATTGGGTACTATCAAGAACCCTGAGTAAGAAATAGCCCTATGTAAGAAAGCGCAATCGACCCAAAACATTGGCAGAATGTAGAATACAATGTTTTGGAGGGTCTAATTTGGACAGGCAACGCAGCCCCAAGTGCTCAATCGGATTTGAGTACAATCAGGATACTCACTTGCATGCTTTTTCTTTTTGGCTGCAAAACCTTTGCACTCTGATCTGTCGATCTCGTGCTCCCAGAGACACACAGAGAGGATATCGTGTTTTTTTTTAGGTCTATTGATCTCTCACCTATCTGTTCGCTTCACATGATCCAAGTCACATTTCCTTTCACTGCGAACCACCGGCAGATAATCTTACAAGTGTTGCCACCTGTCGCCGTTACTGCGAGCGGACCTACTGCACAATGGCTTCTGTGGCATGCCGATTTAATTTTTTCAACACAAGAGAGCGCGTGAGAGTGTGGACTCCCGTGAATGAAAGGTTGAGTTACTCATGCAAACCGTTTTTGCGCGAATCTTAAACGCTTACAATGTGCTGCCATACAACACAAATTTTTGGTGTTCCAGCACATTGAGGTGATTGGGGTTGCGCATACGTGTCATGTTATGGTGAGCAACGGTCACTTTCCATCCTGATGGCGCCTCGGGTTCTTTCGACAAGGAACGACTGGCCTAAGGTAGGTGGGTTAATCAAATGTTGTACAAATTTACTTTTGAGAGAGATGTGGCAAAATTTAATTAGCGGATTGGTGGTTACCCATGTTCAACCCAAATGCATGGATCTCCTTTGATATGTGATACGCACAACGCATGCGACAATCCATTGGATAGCTGATTTGGTTTCGAAATCCCCGTGGGGAATTTGGTAGCTTAATTCAGTGAGAGTTGTCAGCATTGAGGAACTTCATAATTTCTAACAAACTTCCTTATGTTGTTCGGAGTTACTTTGTCTTTCTTGGGAGGGGATTGCATGAACCATATTAGGCGGACGAACGGTTTCTATGGGGAAACACAAAAAATCACGTATACCTCTTTGAAACTTGAGATTACTTGGTTGAATTACCTCTGTACAGGAAAATAATTGCGCGTGCTAACAGGAGCCTGGTTTGTTGGTTTAGAGTCGCTACTAAGACATCTATCAGTAAAAGATCGACGGCTGTTTCTATGAACTTGACTTATTGAAGGTATTTCTCACCCCATTTAATTCGCTTGCCGAAGTGCTGTCATTATTCGTCTCCGATATCGTTCCGTAAGGATCCTTGATATATGCGTGATAGTGTCCCCCACCGGTGCTCCCGCCGACATGCAGTACCACGGAAAATAGATCGTACTTGGCTGTCTAAATCCAGAAAAATGAAAAATAAAAATCCAATTAATTAAGCTGTAGTCTGAGGTTTTAGTAGAAACTAAAGACTGGCTGCTGAGTATTATCCACAGCACCAGTCCTAAATTCCCGCCTAACATTGCATCAGTTGCTGGATTTGGTTAAAACACCATCATTCAATTTTTTCTGCTTTGAATGAGGTACCGGAAAACCGAATTCACTAACTTGCAAATCCGCGGGTTGATAACAAGATAGTAAGAGTAACTTCGATTGCCGTTTTCTGATGCAAAAATGTCTCCATTTCTCGAATTTTTGTGATCCACCAGTGCACTCTGCCAATCTGTACGCTTTTCATCATTTGGTGTTAAGGGGTCTGCGCGCACCGTTGTAGTAGCTTGTTGCTGGTATAGTCTTCCTAGCTTCGAAGAGAGCTGCCGATCATGACGACTTAGGGCAGAGGATTTCAAAATCAGTATGTCCTCTTTCACCTTTCTCCAATCACCATCTATTAATACCAATACTACCCCTGTGCCGGTGTGGTTCTAGAAACTCCTCCGCCAACCCAACTCGATACTGCTTAGTTACAGGGACGTTTTCAGGTGATGAATTTGATGGTTTTGCATCAGCCGTTATGTTCTGCAGAAAAAGCGAATAGATGCGTGTGCCACTCAGCAGATCTGTCTGCCATAAAGAGTTCTCTCGGCCCCGAAGCTGTCTGTTGCCCGGGTCGGTGGAATGCTCTTGAAATAGAGGAGTCGAGTGGGATGACTCCAGGCCCCTCGGCTCAGTTCAGTAACGGAGGTAACAGCGTTGGTGCGCATTTGGGTTCAATTGGTAGAGGTCTGAAGGATCTATGAATTCGGCTGCCAGGTTCGGTAATTTTGCTGGTTTGATTTTTACGCACTATGTCACAGTGTGTATTGAACTGTCCATGGCGACAAAGACCACTATTTAACTTCTCACCTTATTACTTTACGGTTTTCTAGCGATGCATCAAACTCAATATATCGCGAAACAACGTAAAAACAGTCGTCTAAGCAAGTAAAAATATTTGACATACCTCGCAGTTCTCATGCCAGTGCTTGAGTTCCAAATTAGGCACTATTAATAGACTTACGGCATTGCTTTCAGAAGCTAGATATTTCCGCATATATTCTAAACTGAAAAGTAGATCGCCTAAATAATCGAAGGTGGCTGAGCTCAATTTGTAGCTTTCTATACAAATAAGAAAACGCACGATATATAGCGTGATCATCATCGCCACAAAGCTGACAACATGAAAAATGGTTGGCCAAGCCATTGGGATCTATAGCACTTGTACAGGTCACAGATGGTGGCACAAAAGCCCCACATACTGGTGGCCGGCTTTCTATTTTCGGCTCATGGCGATTGACATAGTCCAAATGGCTTCAGCTGCAGTACTCAAAACGTTATTAAGAATACATGTTTTTCCCGTTTTCCTTTACCGTCATTCAACTTACAGCATTACTGATTTTCGCCCATATCACCCTCACTGGGTTTTCTGGCACTTAGAGGGGTTGCACATAACATTAATTATGCACAAGTATTCAACAATCACATTATGATATCAGTTGTTGAAGTGCAAAGCACACTGACTAGTAGGCATAGTATGGCATATTAAACATTTTCGACGACAGCTGATCGAGGAGACAATGATGCATATTGATTTGACAGAGTAAGGAGCAGATGGACCGCGATGAAGTTGCAATGAAATTCATCTGGCAAAAGGAATCGGAAGTTTCTGAAGGCTAGCTATAAATTCTTAAGATGCCGACTCTCCGGTAAAGACTAGGGTAGAAACTTTGAGTGTTCCCGGTACGAAGAACTATCTGATCAATCATATTGGCGTGAATTTCGATCCCAAGGAACTTGCAGGCACTTTTTCATTTTGACGTGCAGAAGTGAATGACCGAAAAAGATCTCTTTTGAACGGGTCCGGAGGGGTTTTTAAAGATTCTGATAGATTAGACACCAGTGGTCTCGTCTGAATCGCGTTCCCTCTTGAAAGTAACTGCCACTGTTGCACCTCTATAGAGGGACTATCCTGGGTAAGAGACAATCACGAGAACCGTGAATTTGGATATAGTTGAAGAAAAAACTGGGGTTTACACCTTATCCGAAGAGAGCGTAAGGCCACACGTCACCATTCTGAAGCCGCCATGATGTCCTGACCACCGAAAAACCCAGAAATATTTTTGGAAATTAAAAGCTTCGGCTTCTAAGATTCTACGATGACTAAGCCTTGATGATACTACAGGTGGTATGACACAAATAAATTCAACATAGAACAGAATAGTTTTTCATATCTATGAAGTGGTCTGTTCTGGTCGGAAAACCATATTTCGATGACAATGTTCTCCTGAGGAGACACAAGGTCAGCTAAATAGTTTATATATTATCCAGTATATTTTCTCTTGGAAAACTGTTCAACTGAATGGATTGAAAGCAATAGTTCCAACCATCAGCGGCTATCGATTTTAACTGCCGACACAGTTTTTCTCCATGTACACACAAAATTCCAGTTGAGGTCTTTTAAAGCAGGAGCATCCCAGCCCAGTGAGTTTTAACGCCACCTGAGGGTGCAAGCCTGGCTACAGATTACAATCATATGGACTGCAAGTGATTAGGCCTGGCACATTGTTAATCAGCTTTTCGTTGAGAAAGTCACTTGGCAAACACGTATATTTGTTACACAACATTCACAACCTGAAATCGGCACTGCTAGCCATGAAGGACAACCAAGCGGTGAAGCTGAATCTACAAACGCTTAAAAGTCGTAGCTGTGAGTAAATAAAACCTTAGCCATTCGCCTTGCGACTGGAGAAAGTCTGTTGAGGACTAATCGAACAGATGTGGCATAACTCATGAAACTGACCAACAAAGCATTGAAGTGCTGGAGGTTGGTCTTATTTCATCCTCGTTGATTCAGTTACCGGATTTGGACGATCAATTACAAAGTTACTCTCAAAACCTACATTACTGAAGGTCAGCGGCAATTTTATCAGACCTGAAACAGACAGTTCTTTTTAACCGTACGAAGGTACTCAAATTATTAATATGCAAGTGCGCTAGTCCTCTACTTTATGTGGACTACGTTTGGTGAGCGCAGTGCTACTAGTTTGAGGGGTGCCCTATACGATGGTGTTAATGAAGTGAGTGAGCTCTCATTTCCTGTATCCAGAAATAAGCCTTTCTACCCAAAACTATTTTCTAGCCATTGGTAATACAACAGCATTATGATTATTCCACTTCGAAGTGATATTTTGGTGAAGGTCGAAAAGCATATAATTGATGCATCTTGAGACAATCTTAAGCTCAATTTTGGGGTATATTTTGAGCTGGCCTCTGTGAACAGATATCATTCATTCATTCATTCATTCATTCAGTCAGTCAGTCAGTCAGTCATTCATTATGAATAGTAACACTGGTCTTGATCAAAAGGAGGTGTTTGTTTTACTATGGTAGTTTTAGCCACTCGTTTTAGTACCTGATTGTGTTACTTCGGAAAATCCAACCACTCCTATGAACACCCTTTTATTTTCAGCAAAAACGTAGCCACTCTTCTCCCACGTGAGACTACTTGGTCCGTTCCACGTGCTTGGTCCGGAAGTGCTTTTGAAATAGATGAACTGGCACTTTAGCGTGACTCGAATTCCGGTAACTTGCCATCTTTGAAGAACTGTCCGTTTCAGCTTATTAAAAGCGCTTTCAAGTACAGTTCCGTAAAGAAAAGCATGTTTTGGTGTTACATAGGGATAAAATTTACTGCCGCTTTGTCGAGCATCACAAGATTTGCTTGCTTTTGTGTATAAACTTGATACCAGTTTTCCAGAAGAGCAGTGTTTGTTGCTCTGTTGGAGTGGTTGGGAGAAATTTCCTCCGGGCGAAGACCCAAAAATTCTTAAAATATATTGAAAACTTTTAAACCTGTTATTCACCAATGAATCAAATTAAGAGGTGGTACAAGATGGACGTACCCTATGTGTCTTGTCCATAAAATACCCACTCATATCCAGGATAAAAGGGAAACTGCATCGCTTCCCAACCTTCACTGATTGCATTAATTTTGAATCGAAGTAGAAACGCGAAAGCGACAACGTTAGAATTGGTGGTAATTCTTCGAAGCGCGTCATCTGAAACAGAATTGACAGACTACGTGGGTATGCCTGATCACCGTGTGACTGGATAAAGTCATATTTCACGACACAATATATGGCAACTTTTACGAGCTAAAATATTCACGTTGACTAACTAGAAGCATTGGTTGGAATGTGTTAGATGCTACTCAGCTAGCCGGTAATCTGATGGGATCCCCGTGATCAGCTAATTAATAGTTGCCAGTTGAATAGACAAGTATCTTCAAAATTGTCTAAATATTGGTCGCTCAGGTGGGTTGGTTGCCCTTCAATCAGGTGTTAATTGATCCCTTTGCCGAGCTCAGCAAACGACTTGTGAAAGTTTCGTTGCCACGTATGATAACACCGTCAGTTAATGGTTGGATAGGTCGCCCAATAAAGATGGCTGAACGAATCAACTGTCTCCTGATCAACAGTCAAATATCCCTGCAGTAAAGTAAGTGTTGCAAATGATGGGGAGCTCGCGTGCTGTCCCTGGTTGCAGGTTTCCATGATGAGCTTGGCACCTGGACTGTAAACGCTTCGTCACCAACACAACAGACGTTGACATCCAAACACTAACTGATGACATCTATGAAGAGAAATGTTTACAGTCCATTTTCAAGACGCTATATACCAGTCAAATGCTGAAAACTTTTGGACAAACCACCACACCTTTCTTGTTTTTGGGCTCATACGTTCCCAACATTATGCTTAACTTCAATTAAAATTGTATGCAACCTGTAAAACGATAGAGTTAGTTGGGTTCAGCTGAGTTTCTCTGTAAAGCCAAAAAGGTATGCAAGTTCACCTCGTGTTTCCAATCGACAAGCAAAGCTCAGTAAACAAGCTTCGTTCTCCCAACCGTTATCCGGGTTCGTGACGATCGCTTTAGCCGATATGTCTCTTCTGTTTAACTTACACACTGATGGTACCAAACCTAATAGGTGTTAGCCTATTAAAACTTATACGGGACTGGACGGAATCCGAAAAGCGGTGCAAATTACTCAACTAAAGTAACTTTGGAAAAGTCGCTTTCTGTATTAGCATTTCTAGTTGTTGACATTATGTTAACCAAACGGCTGGAGTGAGGTGGTTATATTCATCGAGAAGTATTCGATAATGCTTTTAAAGTTCCAGGTTGATGTCTAGTCACTTGTGGCATGTTTACGCTCGTTCAGGAGAAAAACACTAACAAACAGTGATGTGCAGTGCACAGTAGCGTCAGACATCGGATAGTGGAGTGGAACGGGGCCGAAAGGCAAAATGGTTTTTCGTAGTCTGTACTAGTATGACGGGAGTATAATGCTTTATGAATTCCGGACAGTCATGCAGGTTCTGTCTTCAGGAATATCAAGATCTACTGTTGAGTTCGAAAAGCTGAAAACCACAGTTCCATAGGAAGTGAATTTCACTCGCTCACACTCATTTTCAAACTAATTTGGTGCTAATGAGAGACCCAGTATAATTCAAACTCAGCCTCGCAATTGTTGCATTCTTCAACCGAATGTATTTTATAAAATCTACCCTGTGCTTCACTTATATGATATTCAGGGTATCTAAACGAGGGATTCGGCTGGGATTCATTTGAGGTCTGCTTCATCACCAAAATCAGTTTACAAAGAAGTGTATTTCGTCGAGAGAGAGACACAATTAAGGTGAAATTGGACACACCATGGGACTGATCTGCTGGCGTCAACACCGTAGGACTCCGAGACGAGTGAGGTCAGCTCAAGCACGGAAGAAAGTGGTGAAAGTCCGATAATGCAATTCACCATTGAGCGGAGGCTTCAGTCTCGTATTAAGGGACGGACCCACCAAGCTGTCAGCATGTCGTGAAAATATGCAATGCGCCAACGAACTCACCACATACCTCACTCTCACGCTCATGTGTACCGCCGAAATGGGCAACTGGGAGCGCGATGTGAAGTCTTGCGAATCACAAGGAAAAAGAGAAATTCGGACCCGCGCACTGTGTGTTGGACATGATGCGACTAACCATGAGAGCATCTGCGAACGCTCCATTCTACGCACCTCCACAAAATCCGATCAGCTGGCACAGTTTTTCGGCCATCCAATCCGCACATTGTGTTTCCTCGCGGCTATGAACGCGCATGCATCCGCGCACGTACAAATGCACGGGGATTCATCGGTGCTATCTCCTCGGGCACGTAGCGCGCGACAGACAGACTCAATCACCCTGACCTCGGACACGACTGCGTATCGGTGCAACTGAAACAGGCGGCATGCCAACTAGTCATAAGGCTGTAATGAAGATAGGCCGCCTGAGCTGAACCAAGTTATATGCTGATAAGTGCGATGAGTACGGACGAACAGCCAGGCTGGCTCGCCAATCGAATGATGGACAGCTTCCGATGGGCTGCACGCGCAGCCAAGACGTGAAGGCGGACAGCCAGTTGTTTCCATGGCACCAAAAGGAAAGACGATAAGCTTCCGCTCGGACCGCAAGCGATCTTGTCTACTGCAATTTCAGTGTCAATCGTCAGTTCTGCTGCATCATCATCGTCATCATCAAAGACAGTAACATCAGTGTTGGCACTGGTGTTTGACTGCCGTATATATATATATATATTCTCCAGCCAAGCACAGGCGGGGTCACGCGGACCCCATCCTCGAAGGCGTACAACACCAACAACACCCAAACTCTTCGTTATCTCTTTCACGCCTTTCTGCCAAGTCATGCGCCGTCCACCTCGCGATTTGCGCCATTCAGAGGAGGAGAAATACACTCACCTCGGTAGACGGTGTTTTGGCATGCGTAGCACATGACCGAGCCATCGTAATCGATGATTCTGGATGATTTTCCACATTGAAGTACCTGCAGCACAAACACATACCCGTTCTATAATCACCTCGTTACTAACACGCTGACGCCATCTAAACCAGCCACGCTTCTGAGGTATCGGTGGTCGGAAACCGGAAGACGCCTCACATTATCTGTCCGTAGAGGCCATGTCTCACACCCATACAACAACACAGTCCTTGCTGTAGCCTGGTACACACGACCCATAGGATCCAGTGGGATGCTTTTTTGACGCCACAAGTGACGCAAGTTAGCAAACGTGATTCGGATTTTTGCACTGACTTCAGCAGACACAATTCCTTCGAGCTGATACAACTGCCGAGATATGTAATCAATCTCCAGTGATTCTCCTTAAATTGTAAAGGATACATTCGCAGATGACACGTTCTGAAGCATGACTTTACACTTTGAAGGTACAAGGCGCATGCCAAAAGATGGTATGATGGTGGTCAGTTTATTCAAAAGGGTCTGTGCTTCGCTTTGGTCTTCAAAGATGAGGGCCATGTCATCTGCGTATCCCAAATCGACAAGGCTCTCATCAGCAACAATTGGAACACTGGAGTTTTGGAGACCGTCTAGTGTTCGCTTCATGATTTCATCAATGACTAGGTTGAACAAGAATGGAGAGAGTGGACACCTTTGTCTGACACAACTTTTTGTAGGGAAGCTTTTGGAGAGCTCGCCATACACTCTCACCCGCCCCAAAGTGTGTGAATATAGGAATCGGATTAGGTTTACAAACTTCTGGAGCGAGTATAGTTGACAGCAATGGTCGATTGACAGAATCAAATGCATCCTTGAAGTCAAGGAACATCAGGATTGTGGGTCGTCTGTACATGTGGCGTTGCTTTAGCACCTGACGGAGTGTGAAGATGTGATCAACGCAGCCTCTACGCGGTCGAAATCCCGCTTGATTCTCACGCGTCAAGGCTTAGCGTGACACCGTGAGACAACGAAGAATCAGTGACGCCAAAAGTCTTGTCACAACAGGCGTCAAACTAACACCTCTGTGATTACTACATTCACTGCGAATAGCCTTTTTGAAAACGGGCACTACTATTGATTCCCCCCAGTTGTCTGGGATGGTCTTCTTCTCCCAGGTCTACTGCAGCAAATTTTAATAATAAAATTAGGGTTTCATGGAAAGCATGACAAATATTATGAACCTTTTGCTAGAATATTTTAGGCCACATCGGAATACCTCAAATGCGGCCGCCAACTCTGAAGAATAACTGCCAATCATCGCTAAAATTTGTCAATTCGGTCAAAATTTGACTAAAAATCGGCGATTTACTCGTTCTTCCTACTGGGAAATGAAAGGATGCTTATGTCGTAATGTATTAGGTAGTCTGAATTGCGGGGAATCTAGTGGCAGTAAGGCCTTCATCACATGCGAGCTACCATACTCTTCCAATGGAATTGAATGTTGATGTTACACGTCTATTAGTTGCAGCGTCCTACGGTACATGGCCCAAGTTCAAGCCTCTAGAAAGTCGAGCCATAAGGTAGATGAATGCATGTTCCTCCCTTTGCTACTTTTCATAAAGGATGCTGCAGAGAAAAGCAACTTTATCTCAGTTATCTAGTTTACTGTTGTATTTATTTCCACTGTCATGGTCAATTGTAATATTATTTCGATCACTACGATTATCAACAATTTTAGCGGAATTGCTTTTGAAAACCTCACATGGGTAGAATTACAATAAAAAATACCAGCCTCTTTCGAGTCTTTGTCCTTGAACATTTCTGGAAGCCATTTTGTGAATGCTTACACTGCGCACGCTTTGCTCAGTTTCTGGTCACCGAGCATATTTGTGACACTAGAAGCTGAATAAGACTGATTCCACAAGATGTTTTGTTTACGATCAACCCAGTGCGACATCAACCGAAAATCGACCCCCCGGAAAATTGTCCGATATATTCCGAACTTCGTGGTATGGGGATTTGTGAACGACTATTGCAAGAGTGTTTTGTTGAACCAACCCACTACTTGCATTATGATTATTGATAAGCCCTTAGACATACCTTGATGGCATCAACTTTACATCGGCATCCATCACAAAAGTATTGGTTTTCGCCTGTAAGCCGCTCCATTTGTGTGTGGGCGGCTAAAGAGTCCTCGACGGAATCGTGATCCATCACCGAGAGATTGATATCCTGAAACTCATCCTTTCAAATGAATTGTTATGGATGTATATGTCATTTATCTTTGTGGAGACCCACCTACATTTTGCTCGCTAGTTCTGCCACACCGTAAGCAACGAATCTGTAAAGAGTTACGTTATTTTATTGTTGCTTGCGGTAGCTGGCTCAAAAACTCACTCTGGTGCACTGAACACCACGGAACAAATCGCTTATCAGATTGGTCTCATCCGTTCCCTTAAGAGCAATTTCAATTTGCTCAAATAACAGACGGTTCAGTTCCTGAATGTCTTGATGCACACACACCTGTGCCGTTAGCAATTCTAAGCTAGGAACCAACTTACCTCTTCTTCCGTCCAGCCGAAGCTATCAGTCAAGGGTTTCGAGGAAATCGCGCCTCCCCCATTTGTGATAAGTGATGCGAACAGATTTAGCATCTCTTGGATCATCTACATAGTTAAATTTGGGAGACCACATGGTTCGTACTGACCTTTTTCAGTTTCTCTCTTTTCGTTGAATGTGTGAGTCTGAATAAACGGTCTAAAGGAAGAAAGAGACCGCCATAATTATATTTTCACGCAATTCTATAAGAAATGGAGTCAGATCAGTCAGAATACGCTAAGCGTAGTTAAATAAACGTCTACATAATAATCGGAAGACGAACACTACACAATGAGTCTGTTTGATTTCAAGTGGTCCAGTTTGCATACCTTGGTAGTTATTCCGCTGATTTATAATCGAGCCATTCAGTAAGCGGATGGGTGAATTGGTGTTCCACATAACTCATAAGGAGCACTCTGTACAGAGTCATGTGGCTAATTAATTCTAACCGTCACATGACTCCGTATTCTAGTGATCACTTTGGCCATAATCATTTGGTCACTCTCGGTCTGGTCTGTTAACACAAGCACAACTATGCGGTCATTTCAGACTGCAGCATGCATTTTCAAAACCATTAGATGGGTTGAAAATGCTCCCATCGTATCTCAGAATGCTCAACCCTCAGCTTTGGTGTAACTGAAAATGTTATTTACTTTCATAAACTTCCTGGTTCTTAAATCATGGTTATCTCTTCCATGTTGTAAGTAAAAAAGACTTATTTGGGTTAAAGATGGTTAATTACTTGGCGAAAACACATTCCATCCTACAGTTATTTCGGCCGGTTCTTAGACACACCCAAAACCGTTGTTCGAAGCAGGGAAAATTTCATTCAAAACTGTGGCATTTGATGGTAGTTACTGCTAACCCTAATGTTTTTCAAAGGTCAAATGTCCGTTAAAAATGTTTTTACGTACTCGAAGTTGACTTTGGACGCAAAGCAAGGATTTTTAAACGACCGCCGTGGCTCAAAGTGATCCGTTTGTGTTTACGGAGATTCTACGGAAAGACTCATTTCTCTGATAATTTTCTTCTTTATTGCGCTTAAAATGCTTCAAAAAAGCACATAAAGACTAATTGTGTTTTTCCTTCAGGGGTGAATTCGAAGAGGGTCAACCAATCGTGGCTTATATGTGAAGGGTTTTTTCGTTGCAGTAGGCATCCCGTCAGAGAACGAGAAATTCGTTGATAGCAAGTTTGGGGCTTTTTGGTGACAAACGGTGTACCTGTTTTCTGGCCAGGTTTTAACTTTACCGGTGTACTGATTCCCTAATTATGATATCTTGACACTGGGCACAACTACAATCTTTTCGACATGATCCCTGTCAACCGACACCTGACTTGCTAAGAAATGAAGAAGTGCAGCGTTCTGATAACATAAGGTATACCGTCATTGGGGGTGTGATATGTTGCAGATGAATTTCGGGAGATTCACTCACTCACTCACTCACTCACTCATTCACTCACTCACTCACTCACTCACTCATTCACTCACTCACTCACTCACTCACTCATTCACTCACTCACTCACTCACTCACTCATTCACTCACTCACTCACTCACTCACTCATTCACTCACTCACTCACTCACTCACTCATTCACTCACTCACTCACTCACTCACTCATTCACTCACTCACTCACTCACTCACTCATTCACTCACTCACTCACTCACTCACTCATTCACTCACTCACTCACTCACTCACTCATTCACTCACTCACTCACTCACTCACTCATTCACTCACTCACTCACTCACTCACTCATTCACTCACTCACTCACTCACTCACTCATTCACTCACTCACTCACTCACTCACTCATTCACTCACTCACTCACTCACTCACTCATTCACTCACTCACTCACTCACTCACTCATTCACTCACTCACTCACTCACTCACTCATTCACTCACTCACTCACTCACTCACTCATTCACTCACTCACTCACTCACTCACTCATTCACTCACTCACTCACTCACTCACTCATTCACTCACTCACTCACTCACTCACTCATTCACTCACTCACTCACTCACTCACTCATTCACTCACTCACTCACTCACTCACTCATTCACTCACTCACTCACTCACTCACTCATTCACTCACTCACTCACTCACTCACTCATTCACTCACTCACTCACTCACTCACTCATTCACTCACTCACTCACTCACTCACTCATTCACTCACTCACTCACTCACTCACTCATTCACTCACTCACTCACTCACTCACTCATTCACTCACTCACTCACTCACTCACTCACTCACTCACTCACTCACTCACTCACTCACTCACTCACTCACTCACTCACTCACTCACTCACTCACTCACTCACTCTGTTGCCGATCCCTCTGTTTTCTACGTTCCCATCAAGGGTTCGTAGTTTGGCTTAGTTTTCCAAGGAATTCGTGCGCCTGCACTACTAAGCAATCGAAGCCTCATTAATTCCACCTATGTTCAGCTGCATATTCATCCACTTTCTAAAGGCTCCACCGCTTGAACTTCCTACCACTGAAATGACACTTAAACTATTGTGAAACTGACCAGCTAGTCCAATGAGGTGTTTCGGTTTGTGACGCCAAACTTTTGACTCCATTGACACTTAACTAGACACTGTTGGAAGCTTATAACTGAACGTGAACTCGGTTTGCTGATAATCCGCGGGCATAAAGGATCACCGTTTTCATGCTTTCAACACAAAAAAGAGTACATCTGCATCCACTGTCACCGCCAATACGTCAATAATTAGTAATAGTCTAGCATGGATCCGATTACTCTTGGTTACAATAATAGCTGTTCACCATCTAATAAACCACTCTAGTAGAGAGGATAAATTAATAGAGGAACTTTCTGATAAAATAAATTTAGGGAGATTGTTTACTTACAAGTAAACTCCGGAGTGTGAAGAAGAGTTTGCAATAAAGTATTCAGGTAACATGTCCCTCCTTGATTTTGTAACCCTGTAAGTTTGTATCTAGGCTTTGCTGGCCAAGCAAATTCAGTCACTCCAATCTTTGATCCACTCTTTTTATCGAATGCTTGATCATCATGATTGGGTGTGGGCAGCATAAGTAAATTCTGGCATTTTACGGTAACCTCCAGACACACAGCACGCCAAAAGGTAACATAATTTGAAGTTAAGGAAGCCAAACTAAAATCAATAAACGCCTTCGATTATTATGAAATTTCCACAGTAATAATCATGACAGAAGACGGGAAAGTGGGTAAGTTTGGATTGCTCGCGGATACACTGTAACTAT